AGCTGGGATTACAGGCGTGCATCACCACGCCTGACTAATTTTTGTATTTTTAGTAGAGACTGGGTTTCACAACGTTGGCCAGGCTGGTCTCAAACTCCTGACCTCAAGTGATCCTCCCAAAGTACTGAAATTACAGGCGTGAGCGACTATGCCCTGCTGCAGATGTTGATTTTTTTTTTTTTTTTCTTGAGACAGACAAAATCTCGCTCTGTCTCCCAGGCTAGAGTGCAGTGGCACGATCTTGGTTCACTGTAACCTCCACCTCCTGGGTTCAAGTGATTCTTCTGCCTCAGCCTCCCAAGTAGCTGGGATTACAGGCATGTGCCACCATGCCCAGATAAATTTTGTATTATTAGTAAAGATGGGGTTTCACTGTGTTGGCCAGGCTGGTCTTGAAATCCTGACCTCAGGTGATCCACCCACCTAGGCCTCTCGAAGTCCTGGGATTACAGGCGTGAGCCACCGCTCCTGGTCCATGTGTCTGCTTTTGGTTTGTCATCACCATAGTTCTGATTCTCTTAGATCATCAGAGCAGAAGGGGCTTCCCCAAGAGGTGACATTATTCATCCATGAAAAGGAATAAAGTACTCATGTGCTACAACACATAGGAACCTTGAAAACATCGTGCTGAGTGAGAGAAGCCAGACACACAAGGCCATGCGTTGTATGATTTCATTTCTGTGAAATAGCCAGAATAGTTCAATCCATAGCCACAGAGACTTGATTCCTGGTTGCCGGGGCCTGGGGAGGGGAGAATAGGGAGTTTCTGTGAATGAGTATGGGATTTCTTTTTGGGGTGGCAAAAACATTCTGGAGGTAGACCAGCGATGGCTGCACAACTTTGTGAATATACTAAAATCCACTGTGAAACTGTATACGTTTAAAGGGTGAATGTTGCGGTATGCGAATGATATGGAAATGTTGTAAACAGGTGCTCAGTGCCGCGAAGAAAGCTCAGCACTGTGGGAAGCAGAAAAGTTCCTCTTTAAAGTTTCCTTTCCTGTTAAAGAATAAGTGTGCTAAAAATAAAAAATAAAGAGTAAGTCTGCTAATAGCTTTGTTAAGCCTTATCCTGTGTAGCTGTTAGACCTGCCATGCTTACAGGCACGTAGTACATTCTACGTCCTTGTACTTCAACCAAGATGTCTGTGCTGGACGTGCTCACAGGCGTGTCCCAGCTCTCCATTGCTTTTACCTGTTTAGAAAAGTTTTAAGTTGTGGGTCGGGCGCGGTGGCTCAAGCCTGTAATCCCAGCACTTTGGGAGGCCGAGGCAGGGGGATCACGAGGTCAAGAGATCGAAACCATTCTGGTCAACAAGGTGAAACCCCATCTCTACTAAAAATGCAAAAAACAAGCTGGGCACGGTGGTGCGTGCCTGTAATCCCAGATACTCGGGAGGCTGAGGCAGGAGAATTGCCTGAACCCAGGAGGCGGAGGTTGCGGTGAGCCGAGATCGCGCCATTGCACTCCAGCCTGGGTAACAAGAGCGAAACTCCGTCTTAAAAAAAAAAAAAAAAAAAAAAAAAAAAAAGTTTTAAGTTGTTAGCCAATCAGGTTTTAATTTAGACTGTGAGATCTGGCTCCAGCCAATGGAGATCAGACACAGCAGTAAGGATGACCCCAAATGAGTAAGAAATAAATTCGTGTGTTTTCCTTTGTTCTTTGTACTCTGGTGGCAAGACGGCTAGTGAGAGTACCTTTCCAGTAGCCCAAAAAAAGTAAAAATTGTGTTATTGAAAGATCCTTTGTCTCGGTGCTATTTTTTCTTTGCAGCACCAAGCATCTATTTCCAACAAGCACTGAGACAAAGGATCTCTTAGCAAGCAATTGATACTTTTTTACTTCCTACACTGCAGGAAGGGTACCCCCGCTAGCCATCTTGCCACGAGAGTACAACCATCAAAGGAAAGCAGACATGTTTGTCTCTTAAGCTCTTGGAGTCGTCCTTACTGCTGCATCTGATCTCTGCTGGCTGGAGTCAGACCTCACAATCTAAACTAAAACCCCATTGGCTAACAACTTAAAACCGTAAACCCGTGGAAGTAATGGAGAGCTGGGAGACGCCTGTGAGCACGTCCAGCACAGATGTTTTGGTTAAAGAAGTACAAGGACGTAGAACATACTACGTGCCTGTAAGCATGGCATGTCTAACAGCTACGTAGGATAGGACTTAACAAAGAGTTATTAGCCCACTTATGATTTATTCTTTAACAAGAAAGGAAACTTTAAAGAGGAACTTTTTTGCTTCCCACACTCAGTAAACCTGTTATTAAAGATATTTCAGGATTCAAATATTTAAAAACACTCCAGGGGTAGAAAAAAGAGCTATGAGGAAATTAAAAGGTTGATTCCTGCTGAGAAGTGGTGTTTTAAAAAAAAAAAGAAACAAATAGAAAAAAAAGAAATTAAAAAGTTGAGAAACCCTGTCGTCTGCACATAGAGAGCATCAACTATACACTTTAGAGGTGTTTTTATTATTATTACAGTTATTATTATCACAGATTTATTATCATTATGTCATCTCTCTCTTTTTTTTTTTTTTTTTTTTTAGACAGAGTCTCACTCTGTCGCTCAGGCTGCTGGAGTGCAGCGGCACGATCTCGGCTCACTGCGATATCCACCTCCTGGATTCAAGCCATTCTCCTGCCTCAGCCTCTGGAGTAGATTGGCACATGCCACCATGTCCAGATGAGTTTTGTATTTTTAGTAGAGAGGGAGTTTCACCATATTGGCCAGGCTGGTCTTGAACTCCTGACCTTGTGATCCTCCCACCTCGGCCTCCCAAATTGCTGGAATTACAGGTGTGAGCCACCGGGCCCAACCTCTGTAATCTCTTAACTGAAGTGCTTGGGACCAAGTATGTTTCTGAATTTAAAATTGGGTTTTAGAAAGATAATATGGTGCACCTACATACAACAGCCCCGACAAGGTTTGAGACAGCACCCAGGAAACCAACATTAAAATTTCTGTGAGGAAATAGAGGTGCATTCACACTGAGTGAAATAAATACGGATGCTAGGTCCTCACGCTCTGTCGTGGTTTGAATGTGTGCCCTAAAGTTCATATACTGGAACCTTAATTCTTTTTTTGTTTGTTTGTTTTTTGAGATGAAGTCTTGCTCTGCTGCCCAGGCTGGAGTGCAGTGGTACAGTCTTGGCTCACTGCAGCTCCCCCTCCCAGGTTCAAGCCATTCTCCTGCCTCAGCCTCCCGAGTAGCTGGAACTGCAGGCCTGTGCCACCACACCCAGCTAATTTTTTGTATTTTTAGTAGACACAGGGTTTCACCATATTGGTCAGACTGGGCTGGAACTCCTGACCTCATGATCCACCTGCTTCAGCCTCCCAAAGTGCTGAGATTACAGGCATGAGCCACTGTGCCCAGCCAGAACCTTAATTCTCAATGCCACAGTGTTGAGAGGTGGGACCTTTCATGAGGACTCTGCCCCCATGAATGGCTTCATACTGTTACTGCAAAAGTGGGTACCTGATGAAGGAATGAGTTTGGCTTCTTTCTCTTCTCTCTCTCTGTAGCTTTCTTGCCCTTCTGCCTTCCACCGTGGGTTCATACAGCAAGAACACCCCCACCAGATGCAGTCCCTTGCCTTCCCAGCCTCCAGAACTATGTATGAGCTAAAGGAGTTTGTTTTCCTTGTAAATTACTCAGTCTCAAGTATTCTGTTGTGGTAGCTCAAACCTAAGACACTGCCCAGTATAGCAGCTACATGTGACTATAAAGCACTTGAAATGTGGATAGTCTGAAATGAAATTGCTGGGCCTGGCATGGTGGCTTATGCCTGTAGTCCCAGCTACTTGGGACACTGAGCCAGGAGACTCCGTGAGCCCAGGAGCTCGAGACGACAATGAACTATGATCACGCCACTGCACTCCAGCCTGGGAAACAGAATGAGACCCTGTCTCTTAAAAATAAAATAATAAAATAAATGTGAATGTAAACCACTCATCAATTTCAAAGACTTAGTATGAGAGAAATCATTTCTTATTGATTATAGATGTGATTATAATATTTCACATGTTGGGTCTGATAAAACATTGTTCAAATTGACTTCACCTGCTTATTGCCACTTTCTTAAATGTAGATACTAGGACATTTTGCAATGTGCACGTGGCTCACCTTTGTAGCTCCAATTCTATTTCAATTGGACGGTGCCCCTCTGAGGAAGTTTACCTCAGTTCAATGCAGATGTGCCCAAACGAGTTTCCTTCAAATTTATTTAAAACAAAGGCTGGGTGTGGTGGCTCATGCCTGTAATCCCAGCACTTTGGGAGCCTGAGGAGGGTGGATCACTTGAGCCCAGTAGTTCAAGTCCAGCCTGGGCAACATAGTGAAACCCTGTCTCTATAAAAAATATAAAAATTGGCTTGGCGCAGTGGCTCACACCTGTAATCCCAGCACTTTGGGAGGCCGAGGCAGGCAGACCACAAGGTCAGGAGTTTGAGACCATCCTAGCCAACATGGTGAAACCTCATCTCTACTGAAAACACAAACATTAGCCAGGCCTGGTGGTGGGTGCCTGTAATCCCAGCTATTCAGGAGGCTGAGGCAGGAGAATCGCTTGAACCCGGGAAGCAGCGGTTGCAGTGAGCCAAGACCTCACCATTGCACTCCAGCCAGGGTGACAGAGTGAGACTCCGTCTCAAAAAACAAAAAACAAAACAAAAATTAGCCAAGCATGGTGGCATATGCCTGTAGTCCCAGCTATTCAGGAGGCTGAGGCAGGAGGATCTATTAAGCCCAGGAAGTCAAGGCTGCAGTGAGCTGTAATTAAACCACTCCGCTCCAGCCTGGGCAAGAGAATGAGACCCTATTTCAAAAAACAAAGAAAGAAAAAAAGTTTTTTTGTTTTCAGAGCTTTTGGATTTCTGAATTGAATTGCAATTGCTAGATCAAAGATCTAGCCTGTGAGCCTGCAGAATCAGAGCCAAGAAGGACAGGGTGGCCACCCCTCTTTCCAGCATAACAGGGACAGCAGGCTCTATGCCCAGAACTGGCCTACCCCCCGCTGCCTCCCCGTCATCCCCCTGCAGCCAGCCTTCCCAGATCCCTTTGAACCAGCCACCCCAGGCTTCTTGGCAGCCCTGCCAGGCCACTTATCTTCAGGTCTGCCAGGGGAGGTGGGGAGGAGGCTGGAGGAGATCGTGCAGAGGCGGTCTGGGCTGGGACAGAACTTGGGGTGCTGAGCCTGTGACCAGCTGTGAGCAGAACCCAGCCATGGCCAGCCCGGGGCTGCTGCTCCTGCTCTTACTGACGGCCCTGCCACTGCTGTGGTCCTCCTCGCTACCAGGACTGGACACTGCTGAAGCTAAGGCCACCATCGCGGGCCTGATCTTGTCTGCGCTGGAGAGAGCCACCGTCTTCCTAGAGCAGAGGCTGCCCGAAATCAACCTGGATGGCATTGTAGGGGTCCGAGTGCTGGAAGGTGAGTGAGCCCCCGTTCCCCTGGCTGGATACTAGGAAGCTAACTCTCAGCTTTGTCCTCCGCCCTGCTCTGTACGCCTGAGACTTGGCAGCCTTCTGGCCCCAGAATAATCTGCCTTAACCATAGGAGAGAGGAAGGGAAGCTGGGGGCTGGCTTTTCCTGGGGGCTATGGCCCAGCTCTTATGAAAATTTTTAGAAGTAGGAAAGATTTAAAGGCAACATGGGGAAGGATATGGAAATTATCATTTTCTAAGAAGGAAGTGATCCATTTGACAGCCCCTCCTGACACACTACAAACAAGGGGAGTAGAGAGAGTGCCCCATAAATAGATATTTGTGGGAGGGTCCCTCCACATGAGTGAGGTTGCTGTGGACAAAACTGACGATCCTCAAGATCGGGTTCCAACCCCGCTTCCTCCACTTCCATCCAAAGCCTCCTGAAGGCTCAAGTGTTTATTTAGCTTTCAGCGATATAAGATCCCCAGGAAGGGGGCTGGAGACAGGCCAAGGCAAACACACACATGCATACATCTCACACACGCACATCACACACACAAGCATGCATGCACACACATACACACACAGGCACATCACACACACACAAGCATGCATGCAGAGATGTACACACAAACATCACACACAAACACATGCGTGCACACACATCACATACGCAAGCATACATGGATGCATGCACATCACACACACAAGCACACATGCACGCATGCACACATGCACACACACACACACACCATAAGTTGCTGTGGGCCCCTCCTTGCAGGCCACCCTGAGCAAAGTGACAAAGACCCCGGGTTTGGTATCAGCAGGGGCTCTGGGCTGGCCCCGGCTCCCAGGCCAGGCAGTGGGCATTGCCCCACATCACCCTGTTTGTGTTATCAGAGTAGTTTTCCACCTGGCCAGGACTCACAAATGGCAGGAGAGGCACTGGAATAGTTTGCTTCCTCGCAGCCACATGTCCCCACCAAGTGTCCTCTCCCCACCCCTCGTCCCCCAAGTGGCATCCTGGAGAGCCCCAAGATCATGTTCCCTCCCCTCCTGGCCAGGACTAGGGTGAGGCCAGAGATATACCCAGGGTCCCCTTCATTTAACCCAGCCCTGTCTCATAGCTCCTCTAGAAATTCGTCAGCAGCATCATTTCCCAGACTGGAGTGCAGTGGCACCATCATAGTTCACTGTAGCCTCCAACTGCTGGCTCAAGTGATCCTCCCACCTCAGCCTTCCGAGTAGCTAGGATTACAGGCATGCGTCACCACACCCAGCTAATTTTTAAAGTTTTTTTGTAGAGATAGAGTCTTGCTATGTTGCCCAGGCTGATCTCAAATTTCTGCCCTCAAGCAATCCTCCTGCCGTGGCTTCCCAAAGTGCTGAGATTAGAGGGGTGAGGCACTGTGCCCAACCTAGTGTCTGTAATGGAGGAAGGGGCCCACCAAGGCCGAGATGTGGCCTTGCAAATTGGGTTCTCCCTGGGCACCTGCCATGGGTAATTGACCGAACAGCTTGGAGAGGAGTGATTTGTTTTCCTCGTTCAGTGGGAAACTGAGGCAGAAAGAGTTCAATAGCCTCCTGACGCCTCACAGTGGATGCCTGGTGGGGTGGGTCTAGACAAACCGAGACAGTTACCCGAGTCTCTTGAGGGCGAGTGGCATCGCACTGACTCGCGTCCAGCCCCCTTGCCAAGCACAGTAGTGGGTGTGCAGCAGGTGCAGCATTCATAGAGCCAAGGGACAGAATCTTGTCATCAGGGGAGGTGGCTTCCACAGGAGCAGCTGCTTTCTGGGGCGCATGTGACAGTTAAAGCTTCAGCTCACTAAGTATCTGCTCCACGTGGGCACAACCCAGGTGCATTGTATCTGCTCCACGTGGGCACAACCCAGGTGCATTGTATCTGCTCCACGTGGGCACAACCCAGGTGCGTTGCATGGGTACCTCAATGCCTTCTCCCCGTCATCCCTGAGGTTACACCCATTATTATTATCCTCTTTTATCAATGAAGGGAGGGGGTTCTCTTAATCATGACTGAGTAGCATTCACTGGGAAAACCGCACCACCCTGGCCTCAGACCAGGGTCCCCTCTCCTTGCAGCCACAGTGAGCCCAGCTTCTCCACCCACGCCCTGTTCCACAGCCACTGTCCCTTCCCCTTGCAGTAGTCTTGCTGCATAACAGATTCCCCAGGAATTCAGCCGCCTAACACAACCACGACAGTGAACTCTGACTAAAAGAGAGCAAAGGCAGTGCCAGTGCCTAGAACAGGGCTTCGGAACCAGTCTGCCGGGTTCGAATCCTGGATCTCCCCCAACTGGCTGCATGGCACGGAGTTATCTGCTCTGGTGGAGTTTGGGTTTCCTCATCCTTCAACCGCAGCTGGCGATGGTGGATGGGAGTATCACGTGATCGTGCACATATATCACATGAGATTATGTGTCTATGTCATCTGAGCAGTGGGGCTCAGTGCTTGTCAGCCATTACCGTTTCCATTTAACCAAGCATTGAGCGCCCTCAACTGACGGCAGCGGCCTCCTGTCTGTCTCTCTCTAAACAATGAGCTCTCCGTGGGTAGGGTCGAAGTCCCATTGCAGTGGTCCCGAACCTTTTTGACACCAGGGACTGGTTTTGTAAAAGGCAATTTTTCCATTGACCTAGGTAGAGGGGAGGGTTTCGGGATGATTCAAGTACATGACATTTATGGTGCACTTTATTTTTTTATTTTTAATTTTTATTTATTTATTTTGAGACAGTCTCGCTCTGTCACCCAGGCCCCAGTGCAGGCGCCACCTCAGCTCACTGCAACCTCCAGCTCTGGGTTCAAGCGATTCTCCTGCTCAGCCTCCCAAGTACCTGGGACTACAGGTGCCCGCCACCACACCCAGCTAATTTTTGTATTTTTGGTAGAGACGGGGTTTTTCCATGTTGGCCAGGCTGGGTCTTGAACTCCTGGCCTCAGGAGATCTGCCTACCTTGGCCTCCCAAAGGGCTGGGATTACATTCATGAGACACCATGGCCAGCGCACTTTATGTTTATTGTTATTACATTAAAATATATTATTATACAACCCGCCTAGAGGCCACTGCCCTACAGGGTTGTGGGGTGTCCCCTATTGCTGTGTTGAAGCACTGGATCCAAGAAATAAAGAGACAGGACACAGAAAGACTGGAAAAGAAAGACAGCTGGGCTCAAGGGGGCCACGCCACCTACGAGCGGAGACAGTCAAGGCCCCGAACGTCCATTATCATCTGTGTTTATTAAGTACAAGGTAGGGGGAAGGGTCATGAGTGAGGTCATCTATAGGCTTAGTGACAGGGCGTACATAATCACATGAGTAGCAAGTGAGGGGGCCACCCCATTAGGTCACCTAGAGAGGTGGGCCATGCACAGTAGGGGGCTGTGCCATGCGCAGTAGTAGAGGGTCGTGTAAAAAAGGGGGTCCACCCCCATTAGCCCACTGAGGCAAGGAGGCGAGCTGTGCGCAACAATTGCCGTGAGCAACACTTCTTACCTGGGGGCGGGAGACGTCAAAGGACTCCTATAGAAGGATGCTGTAAACCAGTGCAGTGGGAGCCAACAGCGTGCCCTTCTCTGAGACATCTCATAGGAGGAGGATTTGAGCCAGCACAGTAGCAAGAAAAGCTGACAGCGGACAGCCGCCATGGCGCGATTACACCAGAGGGGTTCTCCTCCCTCGGTTGTTTGCGGGATCTCAGGCCTGAGGCCTACTTTCCATAAGAACTAGATGCAAGGTACTGCCAACCCCTTTTCAGGGGGAATAACTCTCACTCCAAGCCGGCCATGCAGCGGGTACTGAGCGCTGCCGTCTAGGCTCTGACCTGCCATACAGCGTGTGCCCTTTCAGGCAGGGGCGCTACCGCCTGGGTCTTCGGTTCTTGTCCTGGCCTGGCTGTTTTCCCATGTACTGCTTCTGCTCTGTGACTGCTCTAGGCATTCCTCCTACTACAAACTACTATATGGTTATATAGAAGGATGATGTAAATCAGCACTAAATGTGTCAGTATAGCTCCGACTATAATCCGTTACATGATTATATAGAAAGATTATATGGAACTAAGTATGATTACATAGATTATATATATAAGCTAGATATAAGTAAGCAGTAAGTTGTACTTCAGGCATTAATTGTGCCTGGGGTCTGCCCAGCTCTCCTTCCTCAGTGCCCATGTGGGGTTTACCCACCCTCGCCATAATATAGAATCAGTGGAAACCCTGAGATTATTTTCCAACAACTAGATAATCCCATCTAGGGGGATGGGAGACAATGGCAGATCACTAGACATTACATCCTCATAAGGTGTGTGCAACCTAGATCCCTCGAATGGCAGTTCACAATAGGGTTCACACCCCTGTGAAAATCTCACCAGAAGCTGATCTGACAGGAGGCAGAGCTCAGGCGGTAACTACAGTGAGTGACGGGAGTGGCTGTAAATTACAGACTCACCCACTACTTGCCTCTTGCTGTGCGACCCCAGTCATAACAAGCCTAGACCCGTGCTGGACTGAGCGCTGGGGACCCCTGTCCTGTTGGACTCCGTAGACCCAGTGCAGTCACAGGAGGAGACACTCTGACATACTGGGGACTCCCAAGGCTGTACTTCTCCCCTTCGGGTTTGCCCACAGAGGGGGCTGAGCAGAGGGGGGCATGCAGCATCCTTCTTCCCTTAGCCCATCCTCCCTAACAAGGCTCCTACCTGACGGCAGCTGCCCTACCTCATCCCTCGCCCTCATAGCCCTGCATGGACGCTCTGGGTCCTGTCTCCCCAATCAATTTCTGGCCACCTCTGGATCTTCACATTCTCTCCCACCGCATCAAAGCCACTGCTAGCCCTCAGGGTACCCCTGTGGGAATGAGAAGAAGGTACTTCCTTCCTGAAGTCACCCGACAGCCATCTTCTGGGAAATTGTCTTCCTATGTATACAAACCCATGATCTGAATGTGTGCTGCCATTTCACCTGTACACAGTGGTTCTCCGCCCTGCAACCTGAGTCCTTCCCTCATTATTCCTCATGCACGGCAGACCCCAAGTCTCCTTAATGCATAGTAATGGCTGACCTTTACTGAGTGCTTACTCTACGCTATGAAAAAGACTAAGTCCGCTCCGCACGTTCGCTCACTGTATCCTCGTAACCCCCTCCAAGAAGTAAGGGACTATCATTATCCCCGCTTTGCAGATGAAGAAAGTGAGATGGAGAGAAATTAAATTACTTTCTCTGGTCATCCAATAAGAAAGTATCTGAGTTAAGGATTCGAGGATTTGGACCCAAAGTATCAAGGATTGGAACCCAGGCCCGACTCCAGAAACCAAGCTCTCAGCCACTCCCTTCTACCACTCTGACACCCATTCTCATTGCCCAGATCACCCCGTTCTGGCCTCATTTCCAGTCAGCTCAGCAAATCTTTCCCCGCTGTGTGCTGGAGGAGGCAAAGAGGCTCCCAGGAAGCATGAGACCTCAGAGGATTTTTTTTTCCTCTCCCAAGGCAAAAAAAAAGGACCAACTCCAAATAGTAGAATGAATGCACTCTGATCCCTTCCAGAGCAGCTAACAAGCGTTCAGGAGAAGTGGGCCCAGGAGCCCCTGCTGCAGCCGCTGAGCCTTCGAGTGGGGGTGCTGAGGGAGAAGCTGGAGGCTGCCATCCAGAGATCCCTCCTCTACCTCAAGCTGAGTGACCCCAAGTACCTAAGAGGTGAGCACCCACAGGGGTGTCCTACTCCTTCTGGAATGCCAACTCTGGGGATATTGACTTTAATAACCCAGCATGTGCTCTCCCGGGGCAAGGCTGGGCTGGGACAGTCCTGTCTGCCTAGCAAGCCACAGACGAGCCCTGGGGTCATGCTTGACTTCAGAGTCTGATGGCCTCTCCCACCCACACAGAGGGGTGCAGAGTAGGCAGGGTGTCTTCTCTCACACATTCAGCACATGCCCGTGCTTGAGGTCCTGGTCCTAGACCAGAGCAGAGGGGCTGGGTGGGGCTGGGCGGGGCTGGGCAGGGCTGGGCTACCCCAGAGGGAAGAGTGTCTGAAAGGCCATCTGACCCTTTGCACAGCAAACAGTAGTGTCCTCTATCACCAAATTATTTTAATACATTTCATTAAATGTCAGAAGAAATTCTAGGTTCAAGTGATTCCCCTGCCTCAGCCTCTCAGTAGCCGGGACTACAGGCATGTGCCACCATACCAGGCTAATTTTTATATTTTTAGTAGAGATGGGGTTTCAATACATTGTCCAGGCTGGTCTCCAACTCCTGATCTCAAGTTATCTGCCCACCTCAGCCTCCCAAAGGCTGAAACACAATCTCTACTAAAAATACAAAAAAAAAAAAAAAAATTAGTGGGGCATGTTGGCATGAGCCTGTAGTCCCAGCTACTTGGGAGGCTGAGGCAGCAGAATCACCTGAACCTGGGAGGTGGAGGTTGCAGTGAGCCGAGATCGCTCCACTGCACTCTAGACTAGGTGACATAGCCAGACTGTGTCTCAAAAAAAAAAAAGAGCTGATCATAGCTCACTGCATTCTCCAACTTCTAGGCTCAAGCAATCTTCCCGCCTCAGCTGGGACTCCAGTTGCACACCACCATACCTGGCTACATTTTTTATCTTTGTAGAGACAGTCTTGCTATGTTGTCTGGGCTGGTCTTGAACTCTGGACCTCAAGCAACCTTCCTTCCTCAGCCTCCCCAAGTGCTGGGATGACAGGTGTGAGTCCTGAGCCTGGGAAACTAACCCTTATCTGGAGCTTCCACGGGATGCAGTGGGTTTAGTCAAAGCTGTCCCAACATTGTTCTAATGATTAGGGGGAAAAGGGTTTTATAAGCAAAAGGAGCTTTCTTGAGTTTTTCAAACCCAATCTGGGACCAGCAGACAGGGCTCAGAGCCCAGTGGGAAGAGTTGCAGGAGTGGGTGGGGGCACTAGGGTGGGTGGCCCACTGCTCCTGGGTCGCCCCCACACCGAACCCAGCCTCACCTACCTATCCTCTCTGCCAGAGTTCCTGCCGACCCTGCAGCCCGGGTTTTGGAAGCTCCCACATGCCTGGACCCACACCAATGCCTCCTTGGTCTACCCCAAGTTCGAGCCCCAGGACTCATTCTCCGAGGAGAGCAGCGACATGTGCCTGGTGCAGCTGCTGGGAACCGGGTGGGCCCCAAACTTGCCCCATTTCCTGGAAATACAAATGCACTCCACTGGTCCTGTCCCACTCGTTCTTCTCCAAGCCCCCAGGGCTGAAGCCAAGGCTTTGTGCACGGCCGGGTGCAGTCCCCTGAAGCTGCCGGGCACTGCCCTCTCCCACTCGAGTCGGGTCCCCCTTGCTCCAGCCGCCCACTGGTCTCCCATGCCACAGCGGGTCTTCCAGCAGCCATGGCTGAATACATCACCTCCAGGTCCACGGACAAAGCCCGAGTTCCTCTCTGCCCTTCCAAGTCCCTGGCCCCCTAGGACCACTTTCCAGACTCTCCAAGGCTCCCCTCCCCCATCCACCAGGCCTCAGGAAGTCTGCCCTACCTCCAAACCCCATCCTACCTCTGACCCCAGCACACAGCAGACCTCCTTCGAGGGCCTCTCTGGCACCTTGTACAGTCACAGATGCAATTTGCATTTGGACTGTGGGCCTGTCCCCATCCCAGTGAGGTTGCAGGTCCGGGAAGGCAGGACCGAGCCTAGCTGGGCTCCTCATTTTATCGGGGTGCTGGGTGGGCCTGGAGCAAGGCCCCAGGGCAGCCCTGGGTGCAGGTGCCTGTGGACAAACTGGGCAGCAGGTGCCCAGGACGCATCCTCTCAGCTTCCTTCAGAGCAATGCTTGGGCCAGGACACAGCTGGGCTCACGGAGGGCTTGGCCCCAGCCAGGGCCCCTGCTTTTTTTTTTTTTTTTTTTTTTTTTGAGAAGGCATCTTGTTCTGTCGCCAGGCTGGAGTGTAGTGGGGAGATCTCGGCCCACTGCAACCTCCACCTCCCAGGTTCAAGTGATTCTCCTACCTCAGCCTCCCGAGTAGCTGAGACTACAGGCACCAGCCACCACGCCTGGCTAATTTTTGTAGTTTTAATAGACACGTGGTTTTACCATGTCGGCCAGGATGGTCTAGATCTTTTGACCTTGTGATCCACCCACCTCAGCCTCCCAAAATGCTGGGATTACAGGCATGAGCCATCTCACCCAGCCAAATATATATATATATATATTTCTAAACAGTATCTCACTCTATTGTCCAGGCTGGAGTGCTGTGATGTGTTGCTTGTTGGCTCACTGCAATCTCGACCTCCCAGGCTCAAGCGATTCTCCTGCCTCATCCTGGGATTACAGACGTGTGCCACCATGCCCAGCTAATTTTTGTATTTGTATTTTATTTTTATTTATTTATTTTGAGATGGAGTCTCACTCTGTCTCCCAAGCTAGAGTGCAGCGGTGAGATCTCAGCTCACTGCAACCTCTGCCTCCGGGGTTCAAGTGATTCTCCTACCTCAGCCTCCTGAGTAGGTGGGATTACAGGTGCACACCACCACACCCGGCTTATTTATGTGTGTTTAGTAGAGACAGGGTTTCACCATATTGGCCAGGCTGGTCTGGAACTCCAGAGCTCAGGTGATCTGCCTGCCTCGGAGGCGGGGTTTCACCTTGTTGGCCAGGTCTCAAACTCCTGACCTCAGATGACCTGCCTGCCCCGGACTCCCAACGAGCTAGAATTCCAGGCGCGAGCCACCGTGGCTGTCCAGTGCAGGAGAAATAAGCATGTTGGACCCAGATTCCAAGTGGTTTGGATTCAAGTACCCACTGTTGAGGGCTGGAAAAGATGTGATTTGGGGGCCCCACGGAGCAGTAGGATGTTTCAGTTTGGTGGATTCCTCAAGCCCAGGATAGCTCTAGCATCATGTCCCCTGTGCTAGGGCAGCCAGATGTAGCAAATCAAGATGCAGGACAGCTGTATTTTCTCTGGCAACCCCATGCCCCGCTGGGTGTCTGGAATCTACCAGGAGTTCCAACAGCTACAAATAGGGGCCACATCATCACCTGGGAAGACTCAGTGCGGGTCAGCGCTCCATCTGTAACAGCTTGGAACCACTTTCCCCCAGGATGGACAGCAGGCAGCCCTGTGGCCTCTCGGACCTCTGCAGGAGCCTCATGACCAAGCCCGGCTGCTCAGGCTACTGCCTGTCCCACCAACTGCTCTTCTTCCTCTGGGCCAGAATGGTGAGTGCCCAGGGAACCCCACCAGGCCAGGGAAAGGGGAAGGAGAAAGGAAAAGGGGCGGCCGGGCGCAGTGGCTCACGCCTGTAACCCCAGCAATTTGGGAGGCCAAGGCGGGTGGATTACTTGAGGCCAGGAGTTCAAGCCTGGTCAACACAGTGAAACCACTTCGCTACTAAAAATAAAAATAAATAAATTAGCAGGACATGGTAGCATGCACCTGCAATCTCAGCTACTAGGGAAGGCTGAGGCAGGAGAATCGCTGGAACCCGGGAGACGGAGGTTGCGGTGAGCCGAGATCATACCACTACATTATATATATATATATATATATATATATACTTTATATATATATATATACTTTATATATATATATACTTTATATATATATATATACTTTATATATATATATACTTTATATATATATTTAAATAAAGATAACCCTACCTTTCTGCATAAAATATATACATATATATTTTAAAATGTGATTCAGTGTCCAGAAATTCTTAGCTGAGGAGGCACTCTCTGTTTTTATTCAACAGAATTTTCTAATTATTATTTCTTTGCAAGCTGTGACAGACCAGTATTTTTGTAAATACAAGAAGAACCATATTGCAAGGGAATTCTTTTGATCATTAGCTTCAACAGGTGGAAAGTCACTCTGACCACCACAACGGAAGTGTCTAAAGCCTGCTGTCAACTCCTGTTCTTCTCACCCAGCGTGGGGAGTGGCCAGCCAGGTTCTTGGTGCACACTTTAAGTAGCACTGAAGCTGCCCATGGGGTCACTGTCCGTTGTAGATTGCATTGCCCCCCTACCTGCTCAATCGTTCATAGAGCACCTCCTAGTGGCACAGGCTTCACGTTGGGTCCTGAAAATACAAAAATTAGTCAGGTGTGGTGGTGGCATGCACCTGTAGCCCTAGCTGATTGGGAGGCTGAAGCAGGAGAATTGCTTGAACCCAGGAGGTGGAGATTGCGATGAGCTGAGATGGCACCACTGCACTTTAGCCTGGGCAACAGAGCAAGACTCTGTCTCAAAAAAAAAGAAAAAAACTCTTGAGGCTCTGAAAGATGACTTTAGCAAACCAAGATCACACAGCTCCTCAGTGGCAGAGCTGAATCTTGAACCCAGTTTTCTCTGATGATGGAGCCCCAGCTGGCTGGGGGTATGCATGGGGAAGAAATCCTGCAGAAAGGAGAAGAAGACCTGCCCTAAACAGCCCCTTGCAAGACTGTCTCAGATCTGCAAGACCTTCCCATAACAGGGCGTGCATTTGTCATCTGTAGCACTGAGTGCCTTGTCTTTGGGTGTTTGTCTCCCCAGAGAGGATGCACACAGGGGCTGTTCCAGCAGAGCCAGGACTACATCAGCCTCTTCTGTGCCAACATGATGGACTTGAACCGCAGAGCTGAGGCCATCGGATATGCATACCCAACCCGGGACATCTTCATGGAAAACAGTATGGCCAGCATTCTGCCCCTGGGACAGAGAAGCAGGGTGTCCCCCCACCAACACACACACACACACACACACACAGAGTTACCAGATTAGGCAAGTAAAAATACAGAGTGCTCAGTAAAATTTGAACTTCAGATATACAGTGAATCCATTTTTAGTATAAGTTTATCCCAGATATTGCATGGAATATACTTACACTAAAAAATTATATTCATTGTTTATTGAAAACTCAAATGTTACTGGGCATCCTGTATTTTACCTGCCACTGTGTGACAGCTTCCTGCCCCCAAAGGCTGCCCCAGTGATGGAGCTCTACACAGATGGACCAGGTAACTGTCAGGTGCACCCACAAAGCCTTATGGATGAGACAGAAAGGGAGCGCTTGGGTGGCTGCTCGCTGGCTGGAGTGTCTAAACCCCTCTACTGACCCTGATTTTGGAGCAGCCCTGACCAAGGCCCCCAGTAGGAGGCGGGACACAAGCCTGGGAGCCCCTAGTTGCTCAGGAAAAGGCTGGAGCTACCTTCTTCCAGCCCCTGCATTGAATGCTCACCTCTTGGTGCTACCTAACCCAGGCAGATGGAGGCAGCTGACACCATGGCAGCCCTGGGGAGTGGGAGGAGGTGGGCCTGGGGGGCAGGCCTGCAGAGGGCCCCATCTTTACTTTCAGTCATGTTCTGTGGAATGGGCGGCTTCTACGACTTCTACAAGCTCCAGTGGCTGGACGCCATTCTCAGGTGGCAGAAACAGCGGGAAGGTTGCTTCGGGAAGCCTGGTGAGCTGCACTGCCACCCTGGCTAAGAGTGGGGGCAGTGGGGGCTGCGGGGGCAGGGCTGAGTTTCTAGGCCAGGTGTGGAAACAGTGCATTGGTGTTAAGGATGCTGAGAGATATGTAACCTGCAGGTGCATGCACACACACACAGGTGCATGCACACACACAGAGACACGTGCACACACAGGTAGAAATGAGCTCAGAGTTTTGGAAGCCAAAATGTGGCAAGACAGGAGGCCATTCTGTTGGAAGGAATTGGCCCCTTCACCTGCATTAGCAAGCCCGTTTGTACTGCACTCTTTTATGCTGCAGATAAAGACAAACCCTAGACTGGCTAATCTATAAAGCAAAGAGGTTTAATGGCCTCACAGTTCCACGTGGCTGGGGAGGCCTCACAGTTCTGGTGGAAGGCGAAAGGCACGTCTTACACAGCAGACAAGAGAGAATGAGAGCCAGGCAGAAAGGGAAACCCCTGATAAAACTGTCATTTCAGCTGGGAGTGGTGGCTCACACCTGTAATCCCAGCACTCTGAGAGGCCGAGTCAGGCAGATCACAAGGTCAGGAGATCAAGACCATCCTGGCTAATATGGCAAAACCCCGCCTCTACTAAAATACAAAAAATTAGCCAGGTGTGGTGGCGTGTGCCTGTAGTCCCAGTTACTCAGGAGGCTGAGGCAGGAGAATCACTTGAACCCAGGAGGTGGAGGTGGCAGTGAGGTGAGATCACACCACTGCACTCCAGCCTGGGTGACAGAGTGAGACTTCATTTCAAAAAAAAAAAAAAACTTTCAGATCTTGTGAGACTTATTCACAAGAACCATATGGGAGAAACGGCCCCCATGATTCAATTACCTCCCACGAGGTCCCTCCCACAGCACGTGGGAATTATGGGAGCTGTAATTCAAGACGAAATTTGGGTGGAGACACAGCCAAACCCTATCACTGTTCATATAGCAAGTGCATATTGAGCACCTGCTAATGTGCCAGACACCATCTAGGCTCTAGGGAAAACCAGAACCTGGAGGAAAAGGAACGTAAATCACCTGAACGAACTGAGAAGTGAAGTAATTGCCAGTTCTGATAAAAGCTATAAAGCAGACCACAGGGTTAGGGAACAAAGAACACCAGGGAAGGTTCTCCAGGTAGCTGGTCAGGAAAGACTACGTGGGAGGAGGTGGCGTAGCAGAGGGTAGAGGCAGAGGATTCGGCCACTTCCTAGCCGTGTGACACCTGACAGCTGGTCCCTTTGGAATAAGCCACTTCACCCCTCTGAGCCTCGATGTCCCCATCTGCAAATAAACGAGCATAATCATAACCCCCCTTCCTGAGCTGCAAGGAGAGTAGACATGATACATTTGAAGCCACACAGCCTGTGCCAGGTGCAGGACAGCTCCCAGGAAATGCTATTGTCCCCATTACAAGCTTGGGATGCTCCAAGAAGCAGAAGGGTTTGAAATAAAATGGTCCGTTTTTAAAACAGAGTTTAGGCCAGGTGCAGTGGCTCACACCTGTAATCACCTCAGGAGGACAAGGCAGGCAGATCACAAGGTTAGGACACCAAGACCATCCTGGCTAACACAGTGAAACCCCGTCTCTACTAAAAGTACACAAAATTAGCCAGGCATGGTGGCACACGCCTGTAGTCCCAGCTACTCGGAAGGTGGAGGCAGGAGAATCGCTTGAAACTGGGAGGTGGAGGTTGCAGTGAGCCGAGATCGTGCCATTGCATTCCAGTCTCTGCAGCTGAGTGAGACTCCGTCTCAAAGAAAGAAAACCCCACCAAGTTTATACCATGAAGAATCTTAGGCCCCCACATGTGCAGCGTCGGCAGGTTGGGGATGGGGCTGTGGAACTTGCCTTTTTTGGCTTTATTATTATTCTCAATAGACACATAATAATTGTACATATTCATAGGGTACAGTGTGATATTTCGAAACATGTATGTGTATAATATGTAATGAGCAAATGCATCGCCTCCAACATCTGTCATTTCTTTGTGTTGGGAACATTCCAAATTTGCTCTTCCAGCTTTTTAAAAATGTACAATAGGCTCACGCCTTATAATCCCAGCACTCTGGGAGGCCAAGGCAGGTGGACAGTTTGAGCTGGAGCTCAAGAATTAGAAACCAGCCTGGTCAATAGGCAAAACCCCATCTCTACGAAAAATATAAAAAAAAAAAAAATGAGCTGGGTGTGGTGACACACATCTATGATCCCAGCTACTTTGGGAGCCTCAGGTGGGAGAATCACCTGAGCCCAGCAGGAGGTGGAGGCTGCAGTGAGCCATGACTGCCCCACCGAACACTGGACTTCAGTCAGGGTGACAGACACTGTCTCGAAAAAAAAAAAAACGTGCAACAAATAGTTGTTAATTGCAGTCACCCTATAGTGCTATGGAACAGTAGCACTTAGTCCACCTTCGGGCAATACTAGTGCATCCCTTAACTAACCTCTGGTTATCTCCTCTCCCCCATACCCTTCCCCACCTCTAGTAAACACTATTCAACATTCTACTTCTTTTTTTTTTTTTTTTTTTTTTGAGATGGAGTTTTGCCCTTGTTACCCAGGCTGGAGTGTAATGGTGCGATGTCGGCTCACCGCAACCTCCGCCTCCTGGGTTCAGGCAGTTCTCCTGCCTCAGCCTCCTACTTCTTTTTTTTTTCAGAGATGGAGTTTCACTCTGTCAGCCAGGCTGGAGTGCAGGGGTATGATCTCGGCTCACTGCAACGTCTGCCTCCCAGGTTCAAGCGATTCTCCTGCCTCAGCTTCCCAAGTAGCTGGGATTACACACTCCCACCACCACGCCCAGTTAATTTTTGTATTTTTAGTAGAGACGGGGGTTTCACCATGTTGGCCAGGCTGGTCTCGAACTCCTGACCTTGTGAGCCACCCGCCTTGCCCTCCCAAAGTGCTGGGATTACACGCGTGAGCCACCGCACCTGGTCTCAACACTCCACTTCTATGAGATTAACTGTTTTAGCCTCCACATATGTGTAAGGACATGCAATATTTATCTTTTCATGCCTGGCTTACTTCCATTAACATAATGTCCTCCAGGTTCCTTGATGTTGCTGTGAATGAAAGAGTTTGGTTATTTATATGGCTAAATAGTATTCCATTGGGCCTGTATACCACGTTTTCTCTCTCCGTTCATCTGCTGATAGACTCTCACGTTGCTACATCTTGGCTACTGTGAACAGTGGTGCAGTAAACCTGGTGATGCATATGTCTCTTCAGCACACGGATTTCCTTTCCTTTGGATAAATACCCAGTGATGGGGTTGCTGGATCATAGGATAGTTCTGTTTTTAGTTTTTTGAGAAATCTCCATACTGTTTTCTATAATATTTGCACTAATTTACCTTCCCATCAAGAGTGTGTAAGAGTTTTCCTTTCTCTACATGTTTGCCAGAATCTGTTAATTTTTTTTGTCTTTTTTTCTTCTTCTTTTGAGACTAGGTCTCACTCTGTCACCCAGACTGGAGTGCAGTGACATGATCTCAGATCACTGCAATGTCTGTCTCCCAGGTTCAAGAGATTCTCAGCCTCAGCCTCCCTCGTAGCTGAGACAACAGCAGGGAGCCACCAACACCTGGCTAACTTTTGTATTTCCTGTAGAGACAGGGTTTTGCCGTGTTGTCCAGGCTGATCCTGAACTCCTGAGCCCAAAGCAATCTACCAGATTTACCAGGCTCAGCCTCCTAAAGTGCTGGGATTAGAGGCGTGAGCCATTTTTTGTCTTTTTGATAGTAGCCATTTTAACAGGTGTGAGATAGATGCTATCTCATTATGGTTTGATTTGCATTTCCTGGATGTTTAGGGATGGTGAACATTTTTCATAGACCTGTTGGCCATTCGTACACCTTCTTTTGAGAGATGCCTATGCAGCTCATTTTCCATTTTGTTTTTAATTATTTTTCGGGGTTTTTTTTTTTTAATTTTTTTTGAGACAGAGTTTTGCCCTTATTGTCCAGGCTGGAGTGCAATGGCGCTATCTCGGCTCACTGCAACCTCCACCTCCTGGGTTCAAGCAATTCTGCCTCAGCCTCTTGAGTAGCTGGGATTACAGGTGCCCACCACCACGCCTGGCTAATTTTTGTATTTTCAGTAGAGACAGGGTTTCTCCATGTTGGCCAAACTGGACTGGAGCTCCTGGCCTCCAGTGACCTGCTCACCTGGCCTCTGAAAGTCCCGGGATTATCGGCGTGAGCTGCCACACGTGGCCATGTTTTGTTTACTATAGCTTTGAAGTGTATTTTGAAGTCCAGTAACGTGATGCCTCCCGCTTTGTTCTTTATTCTTAGGATTGCATTGGCTATTTGGGGTCTTTTGTGGTTCTATACAAATTTTAGAATTTTTTTTCTGTTTCTGTGAAGAATGTCGTTGGCATTTTGATTCAATCTGTAGATTAGTTCTGGTAGTATGGATATTTTCACAATGTTAACTCTTCCAATCCATAAACATGGAATGTCTTTTCATTTGTGTGTGTGTGTTCTCTTTAGTTTCTTTCATCGGTATCCTTTACAGCTTTCCTTGTAGAGATCTTTCACCTCCTTGGTTACATTTATTCCTGTGTATTTTGTTTTTAGCTCTTATAAATAGGATTGCATTCTTCATTTCTTTTTCTGCTAGTTTACTGTAGGTGTATAGAAATGCTACTGGGTTTTTGTTTTTGTTTTTTTATTTTGTATACTGCAACTTTGCTGAATTCATTTATCATGTTCTAAGAAGTTTTTTTGGTGGAGATTTTAGGGTTTCCTGCCTATCAGATCATGTCATCTGCAAGCAGGCACAATTTGACTTCCCCCTTTTTCATTTGGATGTCGTTTTTTTGTTTATCTTGCTTAATTGCTCTGGCTGGGACTTTTAGTACTATGTTGAATAAAAATGATGGAAGTAGGCACTCTTGCTCCAGTCTTAGAAGAAAGGCTTTCAACTTTTCCTCATTCAGTATAATGTTGGCTCTGGGTTTGTCATATATGACCTCTGTTATATTGAGGTACGTTTCTTCTACATTTAACATGTTGAGAGTTTTTATCATGAAGGGAAGTTAAGTTTCATGAAATGCTTTTTCTGCACCTGTTAAGATGATTATATGATTTTGTCTTTCATTCTATTGGTATAATGTATCATTTATTAATTTGCATATGTTGAACCATCCTTGCATCCCTGTAATAAAGCCTGCTTTCTCATGATGAATGATTTTTTTTTAATCCAAAACATTCGTTTACTTACTACAAGTGGTCAGAGTAGGAAAGCCTTGAATGATTTTTAATGTGTTGCTGGGTGTGGTTTGGTAGTATTTTGTTAAGGATTTTTGCATCTAGGTTCATCAGGAAAATTGGCCTATACTTTTTTTTTGGTTGTGGTGTCCTTGTCAGCATTACCTTTGGGTAATGCTGAACTTGTAAAACGAGTTTGGAAAGTTTTTCTCCTCTTCAGTTTTCTGGAAGAGACTGAAAAGAATTGGTATTTGTTCTTTAAATATTTGGTAAAATTAAGCAGTAAAGCTGTTAGGTCCTGGGTTTTTTGTTTCTTGGAGACTTTTTTTTTTTTTTTTTTTTAGACAGAGTTTTGCTCTTGTTACCCAGGCTGGAGTGCAAATGGCTCAGTCTTGGCTCACCGCAACCTCCACCTCCTGGGTTCAAGCAATTCTCCTGCCTCAGTCTCCCGAGTAGCTGGGACTACAGGCACACGCCACCATGCCCAGCTAACTTTTGTATTTTTAGTAGAGACGGGGTTTCGCCATGTTGACCAGGATGGTCTCGATCTCTTGACCTTGTGATCCACCTGCCTCGGCCTCCCAAAGTGCTGGATTATAGGCGTGAGCCACTGCACCCGGCGTCTTGGAGACTTTTTATTACACATTCAATCTCATTACGTCATTACTGGTAATCAGTCTGTTCAGGTTTTCTGTTACTTCTTGGTTCAATCTTGGTATGTTGTGTGTGTCCAGGAATTTATCCATTTCCGGTAGGTTTTCAAATTGCTTGTTTACAATAGTCTCTAACGGTCATTTGTATTTCAGTGGTATCAGTTGTAATATTTTCTTTTTCTTCATGATTTTATTTGAGTCTTTTCTCTTTTTGTCTTAATCTAGCTAATAACGTATCTTTTTTAAAAACCAACTTTTTGTTTCATTGTCTTTTATATTGTTTCTTTAGTCTCGATTTTATTTATTTCTCCTCTGATGTTTACAATTTCTTTCCTTCTAATTTCAGGCTTGATTTGGTCTCGCTTTTCTAGTTCCTTGAGATGTATTGTTAGTTCACTGTTTGAAATCTTTCTGCTTTTTTTATGGCATTTTTTGATGTAAACGCCCCTCTTAATGCCACTTTTGCTATATCCCGTGGGTTTGGCATATTGTGTTTCTAGTTTCATTTGTGTTAAGAAATTATTAAATGTTCTTAATTTCTTCACCTGCCCATTGGTCACTCAGGAACATGTTGCTTAATTTCCCTGTATTTGTACGATTTTGGAGGGTCCTCTTGTTACTGATTTCTAGTTTCATTCCATTGTAGTCAGGAAGATAACCGCTATGATTTAAATTATTTTAAATTTGTTGAGACTTGTTTTTTGGCCTAACATATGGTCCATTTTGGAGACCGTTCGATGTGCTGATGAGAAGAATATATATTCTGCAGGAGTTAGATAAAATGTTCTGTAAATGTCTGTTAGATTCATTTGGTCTCTAGTGCAGTTTAAATTCAGTGTTTCTTTGTTGAGTTTCTGTTAGATGATCTGTTCAATGCCGACAGCAAGGTGTTGATGTCCCCAGGTATTATCGTATTGGGGTCTGTCTTCCCTTTATATCTAATAACATTTGCTTTGGTTCTCCAGTGTTTCATGCATATATTTTTAGAATTGTTATGTCCTCTTGCTAAATTAGTTCCTTTATCATTATATAATGACTTTGTCTCTTTTTACAGTCTTTGACTTAAAGTGCATTTTATCTAAGTATAGCTACTCCTTCTCCCTTCTGGTTTTCATTTATGTGGAAGATCTTTTCTCACCCTTTCACTTTCATTCCATATGTGTCTTTACCAGTGAAGCAACTTTCTTGTAGGCAGCATATAGCTGGGTCATGTTTTTTCATTCATTCAGCCAGTCTATATATCTTTAAAGTGGGAATGTAATCAATTTGCATGCAAGACTATTATTGGTATGTGAGGACTCACTCCTGTCGTTTCATTCATTGTTTTCTGGTTATCTTCTATATCCTTTGATTTTTTTCTTCCTTTCTTACTGTTACCATTGCCGTTTGGTGCTTTTCTCTAGCGATAGTTTCGCATCTTTTCTCCTTCTCCTTTCTCTTTCTCCTCTACCAGCAACTTTTATACTTTCTCATGTTTCCATGATAATGATTATTGTCTTCTTCTTTTCAGATGTAGGACTCCCTTGAGCACTTCTTGTAAAGCCAGTCTAGTGGTGATAAATCCCCTCCGTTTTTGCTTATCTTGGAGGGACTTACTTTTGTTTTTGTTTTTGTTTTTGAGACAGAGTTTCGCTCTTGTTACCCAGGCTGGAGTGCAATGGCTCGATCTCGGCTCACCGCAACCTCCGCTTCCTGGGTTCAGGCAATTCTCCTGCCTTAGCCTCCTGAGTAGCTGGGATTACAGGCACACGCCACCATGCCTAGCTAATTTTGTATTTTTAGGAGAGACAGGGTTTCTCCAAGTTGGTCAGGCTGGTCTCGAACTCCTGACATCAGGTGATCTGCCCACCTCAGCCTCCCAAAGTGCTGGGATTACAGGCTGTAAAACTTTTTTTTAAAATTTAGCTGGACATGGTGGTTCATGACTGTAGTCCCAGCAATTTGTTAGGCTAAGGCAGGAAGGATTGTGTGTGCCCAGGAGTTTGAGGCTGCAGTGAGCTATAATTGTTCCACTGCACCCAGCCTGGCCAACAGAATGAGACCCTGTCTCTAAAATAAAGAAGCAAAAAGAAATAAAAATGTAAAAAAATAAAATTTATCTTGAGAAGTTCAACTTTTGCTCTTTTCCCAGATGCTGAAAATGAAGAATTATCAAAAGCTATTCTTTATCAGCAGCATTTTTTGAGGAGAGTGAAGAGACGAGAAAAACAATTTACAGGTAATGAAAATACCCAAGGGAGTTTCTTGACATGAAACTGAGATATCCGGCCGGGTGCGGTGGCTCATGCCTATAATCCCAGCACTTTGGGAGGCCGAGGCGGGTGGATCACGAGGTCAAGAGATCGAGACCATCCTGGTCAACATGGTGAAACCCCGTCTCTACTAAAAATACAAAAATTAGCTGGGCGTGGTGGCGTGCGCCTGTAGTCCCAGCTACTCGGGAGGCTGAGGCAGGAAAATTGCTTGAACCCAAGAGGCAGAGGTTGCAGCGAGCTGAGATCACGCCATTGCACTCCAGCCTGGGTAACAAGAGCGAAACTCTGTCTCAAAAAAAAAAAAAAAGAAAAGAAACTGAGATATCCTAGCAAGACAAAGACCTGTGTTTATTCTTTGCTATGGACAAACGGCACCTGGCCTCGCCAAAGGGGCACTAATCAGAGGGTCCTTGTGTTTGGGAGTTGGAAGGGAGGCTGGGGGTCCCCAATGGCCTCTGCTGAGAAAGTGGGGAGACAGCCTGGGCAACATGGCAAAACCCTGTCTCTACTAAAAGCACAAACCTTAGCTGGGCATGGTGGTGCACACTTGTATTCCCAGCTACTCAGGAGGCTGAGGCATGAAAATTACTTGAACCCAGGAGGCAGAGGCTACAGTGAGCTGCGATCACACCAATGCACTCCAGCCTGGGTGACGAAATGAGACTCTGTATCATAAATAATAATAAAAAAATATCAATAACTGCAGGAAAAGCAGGAAGGGATATAGAATAGCCAGTTCATAGATTAGATGTCCAGCACATGTGGGTGTCTGGTTCCCATGACTAAGCATCTCTCGATCAGCCCCACTGTGGCCTCATCATCCACCTACAGGAGGAGCGAGGAATGAAAGCAGAATCCAATCAGTCAATTTTGTAGCTGCCACCAAAGGTCATGCAGGCGAAGGGAGAGAAGTTCTCAGAAGACTTCCAGAGCCCCCTGCCCCGGCTAGGCCCTCCTGACACAGAGGAAGCTGGGGCTGCCTATGGCTGGGGTGGTCAGGACCTGCTGTGTACTACCTGGTCAACTGCCTGTCCCCAGAGCCAGACAGCCCAACATGAGGACTGTCCTAGGGACTGGAGCAGAAGCTGCAGAAATTCCAGCATCCCAGGCCTTTCTTGGGGCCCCTCCAGGTTGACCAGCAGCCTAGAAAACTGCTGGGGAGTGATGTGCTCACTCTTGTACTTATGATGCATGTCCCCAGAGCAAGAGGCAGCTGGCGCAGAGACCAGTAGCACAGGGTTTGAGGTCAGGCTGTGTGGGTTCAAATCCCGCTTCTGCCTCTTACTTGCTTTGAAAGTCACACAACCAGGCTGGGCGTGGTGGCTCATGCCTGTAATCCCAGCATTTTGGGAGGCCGACGCAGGTGGATCAACTGAGGTCAGGAGTTCAAGACCACCCTGGCTACTACGGTAAAACCCCATCTGTACTAAAAATACAAAAATTAGCCGAGTGTGGTGGTGCACGCCTGTAGTCCCAGCTACTCAGGAGGCCGAGACAGAAGAATCACTTGAACCCAGGAGGCAGAGGTTGCAGTAAGACAAGATTGCATCACTGCACTCCAGACTGGGTGACAGAGCAAGACTCCATCATCTGTAAAATGGGCACCAAACTGTTGGGGCTAATAACTGATCATTGTGCAAAGCCCTCCCCATGGAATTTTCCATAGAGTAGCCACCGAGAGGCAGGAACTGCCAGGGTTAGTCATTCACACCTTGAAATCTGCATTCTCCCTTCCTTCAAGGGAACTGGCTGGGGTCCCCTCCCCTTCTCAAAGTCTCCGGGTAGTGGGGAAAGAATTCCTGGCTCCCTCCCACGAGCAGATAGACGGTAAGACTAAAGGCATGCTGCCCACTTTGAGTTCAAAGAATAACTACGGCCGGGCGCGGTGGCTCACGCCCGTAATCCCAGCACTTTGGGAGGCCGAGGCAGGTGGATCACGAGGTGAAGAGATCGAGACCATCCTGGTCAACATGGTGAAACCCCGTCTCTACTAAAAATACAAAAAAAATTAGCTGGGCACGGTGGTGTGCGCCTGTAATCCCAGCTACTCAGGAGGCTGAGGCAGGAGAATTGCCTGAACCCAGGAGGCGGAGGTTGCGGTGAGCTGAGATCGTGCCATTGCAGTCCAGCCTGGGTAACAAGAATGAAACTCTGTCTCAAAACACAAACAAACAAAGAACTACATCTGAGGGTTATTATCTCAGGCAAGTGCTTAGGCCTGAGATGCTGACTCCATGAGGCAGGAGGTCACATGGGACTAGAAAGACCAGAGGCAGCTAAGAGGAAGCCACTGAGGTCAAGAAATGAGCTGGGGGGTTACCAGGGCCAGGGAGCTCAGCTCAGCTTCCCAAGCCTCAGTTTCCCCATCTTGGATGAGACAGGATGCCAGCGCATGTGGTTTACTGAGGTAGGTAAGTCAGGTAAGCAGACTAACCCACGCAGGAGTTAGGCAGGATGCACTCTCAGGCCAGCCCCCTGCAGGGGGGATGCCTTGGAGCATAAATTGCACAGCAGAGTCATCCGCCTAGGACAAGGTGGCCAGGCTCTTTTATCCCTATATTGGTAAGTTATTTGGAAAGGACATACCTCCCAGAGAAGGGAGCCCTTAGCAGCTGGTGGAAAGGGACTCGGCCCAGCAAAGGGGGCCTAAGGGAACATCAAAGCACTCACACAGTGTCTTGCAAATTGCCTGGAATGATATCTGAAAAGCACTTTTTTTTTCAGATGGAGTCTCGCTCTGTCGCACAGGCTGGAGTGCAATGGTGCGATCTCAGCTCACCGCAACCGGCTAATTTTTGTATTTTCTAGTAGAGATGGGGTTTCACCATGTTGCTCAGGCTGGTCTGGAACTCCTGATCTCAAGTGATCTGCCATCCTCAGCCTCCCAAAGTGCTGGGATTACAGGCGTGAGCTACCGCACCTGGCTGAACAGCACTTTCAATGGAACTGTGTTGAATAAAGGGCCAAGGTGCTTACCACCCGGCACTCACAAGGGCCTCTCTCCCTAGATGGCTGTTCCTCCCACAACACAGCCACAGCAGTGGCAGCCCTGGGTGGCTTCCTCTACATCCTGGCTGAATACCCCCCAGCAAACAGAGAGCTGCACCCATCTACACCGTCACCACCAAGCAGCCGCTGACACAGGTGGTTCCATGTCTGTTGCCTGGAGGAACAGACCCCTTTAGTCCTCCTCCCTTTGGCCCTGGAGGGCCTGGGTCACATCCAGGGAAGGATGCATCTGGAGGATAAGTAAAGCCACCCCGACGTCCCAGCTTGGGTTGTTTAGAAGCCTCAGTCAGCAGGTGGGGGCCGGGAGGGACCCGGGTGTGAGCAGATGAATAAAATTAGACTGCAGCTGACTCAGAATGGAGTCTTGTTTCTCGGCCTTGAAGACAGTCTTGGACGACCTCTCGGTCTTTGTTTCAACCCTCCAATCCCACTCAACACATTCTTTTTTCTTTTCTTCTCTTCTCTCTTTTTTTTTTAATTAATCGATGAGGTCACTCTGTCATCCAGGCTCATTGCAGCCTCGAACCTCTGGGCTCAAGCAATTCTCCCATCTCACCTCCTGAGTAGCTGCGACTACAGGCATGTGCCCCCACGCCAAGAAATTTTTTAATTTCTTTTTTTTTGAGACAGAATTTCGTTCTTGTTACCCAGGCTGGAGTGCAATGGCGCGATCTCAGCTCACCGCAACCTCCGCCTCCTGGGTTCAGGCAATTCTCCTGCCTCAGCCTCCTGAGTAGCTGGGATTACAGGCACGCGCCACCGTGCCCAGCTAATTTTTTGTATTTTTAGTAGAAATGGGGTTTCACCATGTTGACCAGGATGGTCTCGATCTGTTGACCTCGTGATCCACCCGCCTTGGCCTCCCAAAGTTCTGGGATTACAGGCTTGAGCCACCGCGCCCGGCCTTAATTTCTTCGTAGAGATGGGGTTTCACTATGTGGACCTGGCTGGTCTTGAACTCCCCGCCTCAAGCAGTCCTCTTGCTTTGTCCTCCCAAAGTGCTGGGATTACAGGCATGAGCCACTGCACCCAGCCACAGATTCTAAAGAGCCCCATAAACTGGTATCTTCAAGACTATTTATTCAGGTGTCAAATATCATATCTTTCCCAGTGGGAGAAGGAAGGGTCTCTGGAAAGAATAGTTCAGGTCATGAGTTAGAACTCAAGAGATGACCGTGAAAGGCAACACACACTGCTTTTTATATCCTGAGCACGGAACTCTGCCACATGCTTACATGCCATCATACGGCCATCTGTCATTTTATAAAACGCAGTATAGCATAGTGGCTGATGGTGAGGTTCTGTGGCCAGGCTGCCTAAACTCAAGTCCCAGCTGTCTGTGACCTTGAACAAAGTCACCAACTTCTCTGGGACTCGGTTTTCTCATCAGTAAAATTGGGAAAATAATAAACCCTACCTTGGTCAGGCACAGTGGCTCCCTCCTGCAATCCCAGCACTTTGGAAGGCTGAGGCGGGAGGATTGCTTGAACCCAGGAGCTGGAAACCATCCTGGGCAACATAACGAGACACTCCCACCATGCACCCTCACTGGGATAGTAGTCCCAGCTACCCAGGAGGCTGAGGTGGGAGGATCCCTTGATCCAGGAGGAGCCCAGGAGTTCAAGGCTGCAGTGGGCTACGATTTCGCCACTGCACTCCAGCCTGGGCAACAGAGTGGGAGTCTCAAAAAAAAAAGGAGGGGGGAATCAGGCACAGTGGCTCATGCCTGTAATCCCAGCACTTTGGGAGGCCGAGGCGGGTGGATCACAAGGTCAGGGGTTCAAGACCAGCCTGGCCAACATGGTGAAACCCTGTCTCTACGAAAAATAATTAGCCAGGCGTGGTGGCATGCACCTGTAATCCCAGCTACTAGAGAGGCTGAGGCAGAGAATTGCTTAAACCTGGGAGGCAGAAATTGCAGTTAGTGGAGATCAGGCCACTGCACTCCATCCTGGGCAACAGTGCAAGACTCCATCTCAAAAAAAAAACAAAAAACAAAAAAACCCAGCTCCTATGTCAAAATTACCTCCACTGCTGTGAGGATTGTTTTTGTAGAATACTGGGATCAGTGACCGTTACATACTAAGTGCCAGGTAAGCGTTACGTCCTGCCTCAAGTGGTGATGCCGCATTAACTGAGGACTCCTCTGGAAGCTGCCAGAAGAGGCCGCTGCCTTGTCACCATTTCTCTCATTCCCCGCTTACAGCTCTTCCCTCGAGCTCTGACTCAGTGTGACTATATCTGAACGTGTTCCCTGGAGCTCTGACACGAATTTAGCAATAAAACCTTCTGGAACCTTATTATGGGCTCCACTGCTGTCTGTGGTGCATGTATTAGACTCCAGGGCAGAAAAGCCAGCTGAAAACCCAGTCCTGGGGCTGCAGACCTGTTTATACGCATCGTCCCGCTGTGCCTCGACGTGGAAAATCACTGCAGGTCATCCTCATGTGGCAACTTAGTCAAATTTGAGCATCTGAATTAAAATATCCCTGGCTGCTTCTGTGCCCAGCTGAGCAGCCCAGGGGGGCAGCAGGGGAGTGGTTCTCCATCTTTCCTTTGGGAGGTAGGCTACCCTGACCTGATCCTCTGCTTCAGTCCTCTGAATGACTTCCCATGACCGCCCTTGAAGTTATCAGACCCCAAGGACTGTTCCTGGATTGTGCTGACCAATTTGACTTGCTTTCTAGAGGCTGCTGTTTTCTTGGGGAACCAAGGGCCAGAATGTAATATCCACGTGGCCTCCTGTGTGCTTTAAGGGTATGTTTCACGTTGTCTTGCAAACAAAAGTTTTCCAAAACAGGCACACAACCTTGAGAGAAGTCAGCTGCACATCAGCAACGCCAGGGGAATATGCCCCACTTCTGTGCTTCCTGAACTGGGGATGGAGTCCTCACTGGAGCCTGACACTGGTTCATTTCAGAAGGCTTCAGTTACCAAACCAGGGAGAGGGTGAAATGACTGAGAAGGAAGCTGAGCGGGCCGGACGCAGTGGCTCACACCTGTCATCCCAGCACTTTCGGAGGCTGAGGCGGGTGGGTCACCTGAGGTTGGGAGTTCGAGATCAGCCTGACCAACATGGAGAAACCCCATCTCTACTAAAAATACAAAACTAGCTGGGCATGGTGGCGCATGCCTGTAATCCCAGCTACTCGGGAGGCTGAGGCAGGAGAATCGCTTGAACCTGGGAGGCAGAGGTTGTGGTGAGTCGAGATTGCGCCATTGCACTCCAGCCTGGGAAACAAGAGCGAAACTCTGCCTAAGAAGGAAGGAAGGAAAGAAGGAAGGAAGGAAGGAGAGAGAGCGAGAAAGAAGGAAAGAAAGGGAGGAAGGGAGGGAGGGAGGAAAGCAAGCTAAGCATGAGTCACTTTCAAGGCAAGGGAATCCTTGGCTCACGCCTGTCATGCCAGCACTCCTGAACGGTGAGACCATAAATTCCTGTGGTTTGAGCCACCCTGTTGATGGTATCTTGCTACAGCAGCCCCAGAAACGAATACAGCACCTGCCTGAAGAAGCCATTTCTAGTTCCAGCAACACGGTCCCTGCAGCCCACCCACACCTGTGGGAAAGCAGACGACTTGTCCTGATGGCCTGGCTCACAGCCTGGTCCTCTATTTAAAGGACGAATGTGAAACCGAAAATTAAAAAGAACCTTCCCAAGGCAGGTGGATCACTCGAGGTCAGGAGTTCAAGACCAGCCTGGCTAACATGGTGAAACCCCCATCTCCACTAAAAATACAAAAATTAGCCAGGAATGGTGGTTCATGCCTGTAGTCCCAGCTACTTGGGAGACTGAGATAGGAGAATTGCTTGCAGCTGGGAGGCAGAGATTGCAGTGGACCAAGATCATGCCACTGCACTCCAGCCTGGGCGACAGAGCAAGACTGCAACTCAAAAAAAAAAAAAAAGCAAAAAAAGAACTTTCTCAGTGGCAAGCCACAGCCAAACCATAGCCCAAACCCCCCCAGGAATTTACCTACTCAACAGATATATCCAGCCCACACAGAGTTCATGTTCCTTCCAAGTCTCTCCTATCTTTCTGGATATTTTCCCCCTGACATCCACACGACTCACACTCTACCTTGTCCCAGTCTCTGCTCAGATGCCCTCTCATAGGACCGGGCACGGTGGCTCAATCCTGGAATCCCAGCACTTTGGGAGACCGAGGCAGGAGGATCACCTGCGATTGGGTGTTCAAAACCAGCCTGACCAACATGGAGAAACTCTGTCTCTAGTAAAAATACAAAATTAGCCAGCTGTGGTGGTGCATGCCTGTAACGCCAGCTACTTGGGAGGCTGAGGCAGGAGAATCACTGTAACCCGGGAGATGGAGGCTGCAGTGAGCCGAGATTTCGACATTGCCTTCCAGCCTGGGCAACGGGCAAAACTCCATCTCACAAAAATAAATAAATAAGAAGAAGTGTTTTAAAAACATTTGCTGAATTAAATAGAAAAATAAAGAAAAAGAAAAGTGAGGCCCTGAAGATGTTTCATCCGGGTCTTCACTAGTGGAGGAAACCTTGGGCTATGAGCATGGTTGAGTCTGGTCTGCCCAGGCAGCAGCCCCCACATCACCCTGCAAGTGCATGTGGCATGAGGGGCACCCCTAATGTACCCAGCTGGACCTGGGGGCCACCTACCAGACATGGAGCCTATGATAGACTCTCCTGTCCCTTAGGACCTCGAAGCCAGGTTCTGGGATGCTGTAAATGGCCTCCCAGCACTTTCTGTAACAGACACTGTACACTGCATGGACAGAAGAAATTGATCCTTTCAGGTTTACAGTTCCTAAAAGAGTTTTATAAAAATGACTTTGGGGCCAGGTGCGGTGGCTCAAATCCTAACACTTATAATCCTAACACTTTGGGAGGCCAAGTCGGGTGAATCACTTGGGGTCAGGAGTTCAAGACCAGCCTGGCCAATATGGTGAAACCCCATGTCTACTAAAAATACAAAAATTACCCAGCGTGGTGGTGCATGCTTGTAGTCCCAGCTACTCGGGGGGCTGAGGCAAGAGAATCGCTTGAACTCAGGAGGAGGAGGTTGCAGTAAGCCTGGATCATGTGCCACTTTACTCCAGCCTGGTCAACAGCATGAAACTCTGTCTCAAAAAAAAAAAAAAAAAAAAAAGGCTGGGTGCAGTGGCTCATGCCTGTAATCCCAGCAGTTTGGGCGGCCAAGGCAGACAGATCACGAGGTCACGAGATTGAGACCATCCCAGCCAACATGGTGAAACCCCATCTCTACTAAAATACAAAAAAAAATCAGCTGGGCATGGTGGTGCGTGCCTGTAATCCTACCTACTCAGGAGGCTGAGGCAGTGAAATTGCTTGAAACTGGGAGGCGGAGGTTG